TTTTTTTTTTTTTTTTTTGTAGCACAGTAGGGTGACTGTAGGTAACAGTAATTTATTGTATATTTCAAAGTAACTAGAAGAGAGGATTTTGAATATTCTTACCACAAGGATGAATGTTTCGGTGATAGATGTGCTAATTACCCCAGTTTGGTCATCCTGGGTTATTCACCTGTATCAAAATAGCACACTGTGCCCAATAAATACATAAAAACGAAATAAGTTGATCAGCGAAAAAATAAAAGATTGCAAGGGAATACTGTCAATAATTGTAAGCAACAAAGGATGCGAACAAGGTGAAATGAACCAATTTCTAGAAAGATAGAAACTGCCAAAGCTGATTGAAGAAGGAATAGGAAATTAGAGTAGACCTGCAACGAGTACAGAGATTGATGTAGTGATCCTGCCCACACAGAATGCAGTTTTATGTTTCCCTGTGACTTTCTTCTTTCTCCCTTTTTTTTTCTAACTGCCTTTGAAATTACAGGTGAACAGAATGGCAACAGGAACCCTGGTGGATTGCAGATTGGTGACCTGGTAAATATAGATCTTGACCTAGAAATTGTGCAGTCCCTGCAGCACGGTCACGGTGGATGGACTGATGGGATGTTTGAGACTTTAACTACCACTGGAACTGTTTGTGGCATTGATGAAGACCATGACATTGTAGTACAGTACCCAAGTGGCAATAGGTTGGTGGCATTTCTCAATTTTTGATAGTGACAAAGTATATAGAGAGCCGGGCGTGGTGGCGCATGCCTGTAATCCCAGCACTCGGGAGGCTGAGGCAGGAGGATCGCTGTGAGTTCGAGACCAGCCTGGGCTATACAGTGAGTTCCAGGGCAGTCTCAACTACATAGTGAGACCCTGTCTCAAAAAAACCAAAAATTAAAAAACAAAAACAAAGTATATAGAGAAAAGGTTGTTAAGGAGAGTAAATAATGCAATTTAATCAGACTCATTAAAGTTCTTAAGTGGTAGATAAAAATGAGTGTGTTGGTAAGGAACAGAGAGAGAGAGAGATTATATATTTATGATACAAAATTTTATATGCTTTAGATTTTTCCCCATCTAATGGGTATTAGGTGCAAGAATAGCTAAAAAATTATTTGTTCAAAATGGGCCATAACAGTCTGAATCAGAAGGGTACCGTTAAAACTCCTCTGGGCTTTGTTTAGAGTTATCACTTGATAAAACAGTTCTCCCATGCTTTAGGTGTGTGCACATACATTAATTCTGCTTTCTCCTCTTCCTCCTCTTTTTCTTTTTTCTTTCTGCAGTATCGGAGATTGAATCCAGGGCCTTTTCACTGAGCTACAGCCCTTTTTATTTTTTCTTTTGAGATAGGGTCTTTCTCAGTCACTAAGTAGCCCAGGCTGAGGTTGAACTTGGATCCTCCTCCCTCAGACTCCTGGAGGCCTGGGCCCACAGGCATGCACCACCACACTCGGCGTGCATTAATTCTTACCAGCATTATAGACTTGTACACATTCCTACTTGGCACCTTTGTATGTATTACTCACTCCTTGTGGGATTCCTTTCCTGCTGCATTCCCTCTTTGGATTTCACCCACCTACATCCTACGAGTTTTGAATTCATATGCTATTTAGGGCTCTCCACTCTTGCCAGCCACCTTGGTACTCATCTACTTAGGTCTCCTATTATCAACTAAAATGGTTATTTGATTTCTTGGTTTCAAGTTTCTTGGAGGCTTGGTTTATTCCTTTTATTTTGGTTCTAGGGACCAAAATATATCTTACTTACTAGTATGTTTACAATACTTTAAGATGAAAACAGTAAGTTGAATAATTGTCTTATTGACACAGAAACTGTTTGTAGAGAAACTAAGGCCTAGTTCTTTAGGGAAGGGATTTTTTTGGGCAGTAAGAAAAATTGACATGAAATTGCTTACCTGAGTATAGAACTAGCTCCAGTTGTACCCAAACCTCAAGCCACATACACAGTATTATCAGTAGTTGCAAAATAAGTACCTGACAAAATCTAGTACTCTGATCAGAACACCGAACAGAACAGAACAGAAGGGAATGTCTTCAGCTTGATTAAAGGACCTGACAAAGGGCATCTATGAGAAACCCACAGATAACACAGTCAGTGGTGAAGGGCTGAATACGTCCTTCCTCTTCACATTAGAAATAAGAAGGTCCACTTTCCTGCTTGTGTTCAGCATCGTACCAAGAGGTTCTAGCCAGGGCAAGAGAAACAGAAAGCTGATATGAGAGAAAAGAGGATATAAAACTGTTCGCAGGTGGTATGGCCTTGTATGTAGAAAAACATGGAAACCACAACGCTATAGTACGAATGTGCTAATGACCTAAAGTTAGACAAACAGATTGAAGAAAGGGAGCGAGAAGTAAGCCCTTGCGTTTAGCTCATTGTATTTCTGTTCAGAGTCCAAGATCGTTCAGTGGTCCTGGGACAAATAGCCACGTGGAAAGGAATGAAGTTGGGCCCCTGCCACACAATACACAAGTATTGAGTCAAAATAGATCATATATCAAACTTTCTTTTTGGTATCAGGGATCGAACTTGGGTCCTTGCGCTTGCACGGCAGGCGGCAGAACCACTGAGCTGTATCTCCGGCCCCATATATCTTAACTCTTAAGAACCAAAACTTTAAAGTCTTGTGCAGAAAGGTGTAAATCTTCATGTCCTTGGTTAGACGATGGTTGTATAAATACGACCTTAAACAAAGGAAAGATAGACTAGACCTCATCAAAATTAAAAACTTTTATTTTTCAAAGGAGACTACCAGGAAAATATAATGACAACTCATGGAATACCTCTCATATTGATAAAAGATCTGTAAGGATATCTGATAAAGTGTTAATAATATTTCTAGTGATCCAGGAGTTTGTGTCTTAATTTTCACTTTACATGCTTCTGAAATGTATGAGTTTTTTTAAAACAATGGTTACATTACTGTTAAGTTTTTAAAAGCACATAGAGAATAAATCTAGACAAAAGTATACTAAAAGTATTATATTAGGATGGTGAGATCAGAGATGATTCCCCAGATTTGTGTAATAAAATTATAAAATCAGATTCATTATGAAAAGAAACACAAATCACTCAGATAAATTTGAAAGGATTGCCTGCCTCTTTCACTGTCTTAGGTATCTCCGTCCAGGGTGGAGGAAGGTATTACAGTTAAGTAAGTTTGCCTGTTTTGATTTGGCTTTGCATTCACAGGTGGACCTTTAATCCTGCTGTCCTCACCAAAGCCAACATTGTCCGCAGCGGGGATGCCGCGCAGGGTGCGGAAGGAGGCACCTCACAGTTTCAAGTGGGTGATCTCGTGCAAGTTTGTTACGATCTGGAAAGAATTAAACTTCTACAAAGAGGACATGGAGAATGGGCTGAAGCGATGCTCCCAGTAAGTACATATCAAACAGTTTGGGGCTAGAAACTTTGTGTATGTTCTCTTGTTTAAAAGTAAATTCATTTTAGAAGCCAAATTGGCAGCTAGATACACTTGTGCCTTTTGTTTCTGATTTATTCCATTTAAATCAGTGTGGGAAGGTCTAGAAAGGGTTAGGGTTAACATTGTTAGTGGCTCTGCTAGTGGGGAATCGGATGCCCTGCCAGGCAGCGGAGGCTTCCCTGACGCTTTGCCTGGTGCCGTGTGAAACCTGAGCGTGGCCTCTCCGTGTGGAGGACCACTGCGGCCTTCCCGGGGGACAGTGACCTGAGGGCAGCTGAGCCCCAGAGGACCTCGCGGACCCTAGTGTTGGGTGGTAGTCCTTGCTTAAAGACTCAAAACTAACCGTCTCCCTTCAAGGCAGGGCCTTGTCTCAAGAAAAGTGCTAGGACTGGAAGCAGATTTAGTAGAACGGAGATGGGAAGGGCAGAGCAGATCTGATGAAAGGTGGCAGGGGCTCAGCTGAATCCTTGTACACTGTCGTTACTGAAGAAGAGAATAAAGAACAGAATAAGGAAATCATTTTGGGGGCTGGGGATTTAGCTCAGTGGTTCTACCACTTGCCTCGCAATCACAAGGTCCTGAGTTCAATCCCTGGTACAAAAAAAAAATCATTTTTTACTGTTAAGGAAAAATCTGATCTCGGTATTTTATATTAGGAAATAATGAAATTGCATTTTATTTTTAAAAATCCTTAAGAAAATATGTAAAAAGGCTATGTATTGATATGAATATATAAAAATTCAGGAAATCTAGTTTCCACAAACCCTTTCTGAGTAATCTACCTAAGATTCAGACAGCTAACATGACTGCAGAGAGATCAGCCGGTCATGAAATAATGTATTTGTTGCACGAAAATTAAATAAATGATGGTTTTAAAGCAATGGACAGTGTATACAATGATTATGTTCTGTGACAGTGTAATGTACAGCTGTCAAATGGAGTGGGAATAGGAACTGTACAGAAAGTGTAATAGGCTGTTTGGTTGCTTTTTAGTTATGTTGACTCGGTTGGTAAGGGGGACACATGAATGACTAATTTCAATATTGCGCATACTAGAGAACACGCATGTATTTTTAAAAAGAGTAAGTGTATACACACATGAAGGTATTTATGTAAGGTTTTAATACAAACATTAGGGCAATAGAAATTTTATATTAAAACAATGGAAGAATAAACCATGAAATTTAAATATTTCTTTCCCAATATTTCTTTCTTTAAGGTATATATCTCTCATGAGGATCTAAAAACAAATTACTGTGCTTAAAAATCACTTAGACTTTTTCTTGGTTTATATCAACAAGAAACATATTTAGTTTCTTTTGTTTCATTTTTTTGTTTGGTTTTTTGAGACAGGGTCTCACTATGTAGTGAGAGTGACCTGGAACTATGTAGCCCACGCTGGTCTCGAACTCACAGTGATCCTCCTGCCTCAGCCTCCCAAGTGCTGGGATTACAGGCGTGTGACACCACACTGGGCTCTTTTGTTTCATTTTGTTTTCCATTTTTAGGAGACTTTTTAAGATTTTGTCTTATGCTATTCTATAAAATGAATATAATTTCAAATCAAATTTATAAAACAAGATATATTCAAAGACGTCTCCCTACTTCTACCTCAGTCCTCTATATCCTGTTCCCTTTTAATATGGGTTACCTTTTAATTTTCAGCAATCTTACTGTACATGGTGGTATTAATACTATTATTCTGAGTTTTTTTTATGTGATATAATGCTAATAAGCACTTATATGATAATTGTAATGCTGTTAGCCCGGTGAACTTGAGACCAGAACAATCAATGGGAAAAAAAGATAAAAATAATACAGAAGTGAAATAGAAACACTATACCCAGTTCAATTTGAATTGGAATAAAATTTGAATTCATGACTCATTTCATCTTTAAAACCTAACAAAATAAAAAATGTTTAAAGCTAAACAAAACAAAACAAAAAACTTATTTCTTAGTTTTGTCCATGAAAAGGCCTGACATCATGACCATTCTAGTAACAGTAGCCAACGTCAGCGCTGAGATGCTGGTCTTGAAATAGCCTTGGCCTTAGTAAAGAGTCAAGGTTCCTCGGGGAAGTGAAAGCTATAAGAGATTCTGGGGCCATGAAGTGTTAGTAGCCGACTGAAGAGGTTCTCACCGACCAAATACGTATTCACCTACATCGTTAACAAAACTCAGATCAGAAGAAGCCTCATAGGTCAGATAATGCTGTTTCTTCCACACATAATTTGTGAAGAAAAGAATACATGTGGGCTTTGGATCTTGATTCAAACAAACTTAAAAAGATGATCGCATTTATGAGATGATTGAAAATTCATAACACACTGATATTTTTACCTTTATGATAGACAAATTTTTTTAAAATTTAATTTATTGGTACATTCTAGGTAGACAGTACAGGTACATTCATTAATGATAGACAATTATTGATAACTTTAAGTTGATACATGGTATAGACATGCTAAGGAATGATTTCCTAGTGTTACAGATGTGTAGTAAAATGGCACAGGAGTGGGGAATGGGTCGGGCAGATGGGGGACAAGCCTGGGCATGCGCCGATCACCCTTCTAACTGCCGGGTGGGTGTGTGGGACTTCACGGTACTGCTCTCTACATTGTTTGCAGTTTTCTGTGCTAAAATGTTAATGGAGGAAAAGAATAGCCTCGTAGAGTTGAAGATTCTGGTGGAAGATGGCAAGAGAAAATGTCTACTTAGACATTGGAATCTGATGTGTGTAGTAGAGGAGAGGGATAACTAGGTAGAGAGTTGTTCCTCGGTGTTTTTGGAAAAAAGGTGATAGTTTTCTATAATGGATTACAATTTCAAGAAATAAGAGTTAAAAAAAAAAAACTAAGGAAAACAATTTGGAACAGCGATTCAGTTTAGGGAGACCTGAAGAAGGAACGGGAGTAGGTGAGCAGAGAAGGTGAAGGAAGTGGCATCAGGGTTAGGCCATCGTCCAGAAACCCAGAGAATAGTTCAAGGAGTCGGAAAAATTGGAGGATGATGTTTCACCTGGTTCAGGAAATAGTTAAATATTGTTGCTCTTCTTGTCAAGTATCCAGTATTGTGATTTGCTGTTGTGAATCAGAGATGGGTTTTGACCTGAGTTAAGATAGGCCTAACAGCCTGGGCTTTAGCTCAGAGGCTTGCAAGTAGCTTGCCTTGCAATGCACAGTCCTGAGTTTGATCCCCAGTGCCCCGGGGAGTGGGGCGGGGAGAAGGCCTAATAGTATTGGTTTCAGGGTTAAACATGTAGGTGACTTCATACATTTAAAGCTCTTAGAGTGTCCCCGCTGCTGCCTGCTAGGAACTACAGCTGCTGCTGGTTGCAGTCTGCCCGAGTCCCTCCGATTCCAGTTCAGATGGCACGTGACTTCTGCATCCTGTTGTGGAATCAGGGGTGATCTTAAATAAATAGAGAGAAGAGAGAGAGAAAGGTAGAGATTAATTTAAGCATAGATGTAAGCTTGAACCCTTTGGTATTAAATAGTTTTTCTTTAGAAGTCAGACTTCTTTTTGTAGGCTTTATTGATGATTGATTTTAAACTGCTTTAGGTGCCAGTTCTCATATGTATCTTTTTTTGTTTTGATTTTTCCTCATTAGTTTATTGGTACATTTTAGGTATACAGTACAGTTACATTCATTATTGGGATCTTGTACTCATATGTATCTTATGAGGTTAAAAAAAAGAGGGTTGAATATCAAAATAAATTTTTATGAACTTTATGAAGAACATTTTATCATTTATATTTTTGTGGAAGTATAGTAATTATTAAATATTTTAATATAGCATCAGATTATTTTTTAAGTTACTCTTCAAAGTTCATAACTAGTCCAGTAGAATATGGTTGTCTTTTAAAAGTTTTAAGATTAGAAACGAGAAAAATTAATACTCTATAAGGACTAATGATTGAATTTATGTTATTTACCTTAACCTTGGAAACATGAATCTAATTTTTTAAAAGACTTTAGGTAAAGTTGGCCGAGTACAACAGATTTATTCCGACAGTGACTTAAAGGTGGAAGTGTGTGGAACATCTTGGACGTATAATCCAGCAGCAGTTTCCAAGGTGGCATCTGCAGGATCAGCCATCAGCAATGCCTCTGGTGGTAGGTTTTGTGTTGTGTGTCTTTAAAGTGATATGGTTTATGTTAGAACCTTTGCTAGTTCCCTGCAGATAATGTACGTGTGCTTGGCTTTCTCTCATATCACAACGGCTCTGTTGAATGTTGGTCACTTTTTAAACTTTTACTGAAGGGGTTTCTTTTTCTTTTCTTACGTGGTAAGCCTTTATTCTGGCTGATGTAATCCCCGGAAAAGTTCTGTAAACATACGCTTTTTCTTGGGTGCATCAGGGCTTTCTCCATATCAAGCCTGATATACCTGAAATTCAGCATTCTTTTCACTAGTCAGAATTTTTGTTTTCTGCAGAGAACCATCACTTCCTTTTTTTTTTTGGTACCAGGGATTGAACTTAGTACCTTGTGTGCTTGCAAGGCAGGTGGCACAACCACTGAGCTAAATTCCCGGCCCCATCACTTTGTAAGAATGCTTTGTTTTATATTTTCAACATTATCGCTAACAGATGCTTTTCTTCCTGGAAATTTTTACACATCAGCTCTATTTTTTCCTCTTGCCATTGAATAAGGGTTATTACCCCTGCCACAATGAGTAGAAAACCATGTTAAAATATGAACTTTGTTGGGTGCTTGGACAGATGTTTTACCCAAAGCCTTTCCTGCCTGTGTGCCAGCTTTACTGCTTTATCTACATGGACTCAGTTCCTTCTACAACACATCACACATTTCTGTGTGTATACTGTTGTCATCCAGGGAAGAAGATGAATCATAACTGTAATTGGAAATACAAAAAAGGAAAATACTAGGTGATCTCCATTTTATTTTTGTACTGCTCTCTACTTTTTCTGCTTTTCTCTCTCTGGCTGCAGTTTGCTAGTGTATTTAAAGTTTAAGTAATGTTCATTTTCATCGTGGAGGTTAGTAGTGTCATGGTAGGTGACTGCAAGGTGTAAGGGTGATGGATGACGAATATCCTACTCTCAATAGTGTGGACTTGGACCACTGTGTGATTTGTTCCTAGCCTCAATTTGTGATTTCTTTGCTTCCCATTGAATACTCCAGGAATTAAAAGGGTTAGAACGTGATAGCTGTACTGTTTGATACTATTTAGGAAAAAAAATGTTATGAAAAGGTTGTGTATATGTTCCTGGGTGGTTCTTGTTTTCAAAAACAATCAGTTGGCTGCGCCTACCTATAATCCCAGCACACTGGGCAGCTGAGGGAGGGGATGACAAGTTTGAGACCAGTCTGGGAAATTTAGTGAGACTCTGCCTCAAGATAAAAAATAAACAGGGGGCTATAGCTCCCCTGAAGCTATGATCGAAGGCCCTGGTATCCTTAGTATTACACACATACACAGAAAATCAGTTGTTACTTAATGAAGCATGTTAGCATTTAGGTGTCCATGTTCAACTAAAACTTGATGTGCTCCTAGGGGAAATCCCCAGAGATTGTTACTTTTGAGTCATAATCATTGAGATGTTGAATTATTCTAAGGTCTGTAGTATGAGCTCTGAGAGTCATTATGGTGTGCTTAAAACCCAAAAGGAAGTTTGTACCATCGTGGTACTCCCATCCTGGTATGTTCATTCATAATGTCATTGATGCAACTTCTGAATTACTAGTGTGTAACTCTTCTTTTTTCGGTAGAAATAACTTGAGATACACAAATTGAAGGAAACTTAGAATTCCGTGGGCTTGAATCTGATGCAGCTTGACAGAGAAGTGGTTATAACTTAGACGTGGATAGTATCTGTAGTACAGTACAAGAATAACACTAATGATTGAAATAATAAAGTAGGTTATAATGACAGGGATAATACCTGTTTCATGGTAGTTAGGGTTTGAGACCCTCCTATATTAGCAGCTTTATTTCATGCTTTGCAGAAAGACTCTCTCAGCTCCTGAAGAAATTGTTTGAAACTCAAGAATCTGGTGATCTCAATGAAGAATTAGTTAAGGCTGCTGCCAATGGAGATGTAGCTAAAGTGGAAGATTTGCTGAAAAGACCAGATGTGGATGTGAGCATTTTAAAATTGTTTTAATGCCTACAGAAAAATAGCATAGTATAATGAATTTTGTATTCAGTAGCTATTACAGTTGCACCATGTGTGTCTTATCTATTCATTCTTTCTTGTTTTTCTGAAGTATTTAGATCAGGGCTGTGCTAGACCACTCACTTGTGTAGTGGTTCAGTAATCAAATGCTCTTGATCCCAGCGTCACGCATGCGGCTTGATCTTAGCCAAAGGCCGAGAAGCGATTCAGCACCACACATTCCACCTTCAGCTACCTCAGAAAGAAAGTCCCACCTCACTGCATGAGGCTTTGTGGGTGGTGGGGTCTTCTAAACCCAGACCGTAATATGCTTGGAGTGTGGTGTTGTGTGTGTCAGACTTACGCCTCGGATTTCTCTTGAGAATCCTCTGAAGTCTTTTTTTTTCTTTCTCCCAAGTCTTGTTTTGAGCAGGTGTCTTAGTTATTTTCTCACTGCTGAGACAAAATACCTGACGCCCACAAGTTAAGGAAGGAAAATTTTATTTAGCTCTTTGTTTGTAGAGGTTTCAGTCCATAAGCTGGCTCCAAGGTAGGGTGGCATGGCAGAGGGGCGTTGTAGAAGAGAAACAATTCATGGCATTAGCAGGCAGAAGGCAATAAGCTGCAGCAGCAGCCTTCTTTCTGTTGCTTTATAGTCCATCCAGTATAAGCCTGTTGGTAGGTGCTACCCATATGCAGGGTAGGGCTTCCAGTATCTATACCTTTAATCCCAATATCATACCTTAATCCACATTCATACCTCCTAATCCAGCTATCTTCAGAACTCGCCACCTATGACCACGTGAGGCTTTGGGGGGATATCTAGATGCAGGTCGTAACAGCAGGGTCCTTACTTTGTTGCCCAAGTTGACCTCAAACTTGAGATCCTCCTCCCTTGGGTTTCCATATAACTAGTATTACAGACCTATACTGCTGTACTTGGCTTTTGTTCACCCTCTGATGTGCTTGTGTTTGTAGGATTTTAATTTATTTAGAGTTCTTCGTGCTCTTTAGGCTTTGGCTTCCTCTTCCCTATAAAGTTGTGACCGTTAAGCCTCATTATCAACTTGGTTGGTGTAGGAGTAGTCCAGGGGGTTAGTGAGCAGCACTCCAGGTAGTCATGGCCATGTGACATGTGCCACGGGTACTGTGTCTGGTCCCCGGCCCCTGGCCCCTTGCTCTTTGGTGCTGTTCCCTGCTCTGCTCTCTTCCTGTCACGAGCAGGGTAGCTTTGCTCTGCCATATCCTCCTGTCATGATGCTTGGCCTTGGAGCCAGCTGATCCTGCACCAAATCCTTTGAAAGCATGAGCCTTATAAACCATTTCTTCTTTCACTTGTGGGTGTCAGGTATTTGGACCGAGCAACAAGGAAGCTGACTGACGCAGAAGTCAGTTAATGCTTCTCTGTCTGTTGTGCTTCTTTCACAAATGTTTTACTTTCTTTCCTTGTGTTGTTAGTTTCCTTTTCCCTTTGTTTTTATTAATTTTTACATTTTAAATTATTTTCCTGTCATTTTAGTGAGATAGAATACGAACGTGTGGCCAAGTTGCCGTCTTTAATCGTCTGTGGTTGTAGGGATGGGAGTGAAAGGGTTAGGAATAAGGAGTTGCACTGGGCCTTGGATGTGTCCACGGCTAAGTTAAATGTGAGCATGCAGCATTGCAAGTGAAGGAAAGGTTGGAAATTACCACTTTATAATATCACAGCTGTATGTATCCAGGTGGCTTACTCATTTATGTATCCTTCGTTGTAGTTTGCTGAGTTGGTGTTTGGTGTATTCACTGAATTTAATTTATTTATACTGTAGTGTCTAGTAACTTTTCTGTAAGTTTTTCATTCATTTCAGTCCTTTTTCTCATTTAACCATGCTCTCTGAGATTTAATAATCTATAAAAGTACGTATATAGTGTATACAAAATTAACCTCAGTGCCCCCCTTTCCTCTTTCCTTCCATCACCTTAATAGTTTGGCTAAACAAATCTCTTACAGCTCTTTGAATAATGAATCTCCATTTAAAAATTCTTGGCCTTCTATAAATTGAAGAGTTTCTGGTGTCTGTACTATCATCTGTGGAACATCAACCTAAATTTCTCGTGGAATTACTAGTCTAACCCTTTACTGGCTGTGTAATTGGGTCTTTCTTATTTGTGACATATGTTCTTTCTTTTCTGACTGTTTTGAATTTAGGTGAATGGACAGTGTGCAGGCCACACAGCTATGCAAGCTGCTAGTCAGAATGGACACGTCGATATTTTGAAGTTACTTTTGAAGCAAAATGTGGATGTGGAAGCGGAGGTAATGAAACTAAACCTGAAAAGCACGTAAAGTACAAGTTCCTATCCTGCAAATAAGTTATGTGAGGTAGATTTTCATTCTTGAAGTTTAATATTCACCTAACGCTTACCTGACTGAAGGTGAACTTGTAACAAGACAGCTCAAAGAATTTCTTCTTTTTCCGTGATCTCTATTTTGAGCATATCTCTAGGTGAAGATACGGATCTGAGTTACCTGTCACTGTGGTGGGACTGGAACCCCTGTGCTCTTTGGAGCCAAGCTGGGCTCACCCAAGAATCTTACTAGGGCTGTTGAGGGAGGGGACTTCAGACTCATGAGTCAAGGCTTTTTTTTTTTTGCTGACCTCTGACACTCAGAGGCCTTGCTTTGGGAGTCTTCTGTTGTCACGTCCATAACTGAACCAGTGTTCCCTGAGTCAGCATTGCTTGATCTTACGTGGCTCTCTGAAGAGTTTTCAGTGCGTGTTATCACTATACGTGTGTGTGCTTATTTTAACTTACAGTCTTACAAAAGGAAAATGAATATTGCTATCATTAGCTTCAGTTAGAAATCTGCATGTCTGGTATAAAAGGAGACTTACTTTCTTAACTACATCTCATTACTAAAATATATTGATTGTATTTATTTTAGTCTAGTGAAAGACTATTAAAATTAGAATCTAGCACATTTAGACTAGACAGGCTGCTGCACTGTTGATCAAAAAACTCCCATCTGGGGAAGTTTAAAGACTTGAATTGTTGGGAGCTAAATAGGTGGATCTTATTTTACTAATTAAAATAATTTTGGCACATATTTGAAAAAAGGTTTTCTCTAGGGTTATGTTTTGCTTTTTTCTTTAATTGTGTGTATTTTGTTGGACGGCTCCTAAAGAACTTACAGTATATTCAGAAGAAATAATTCATCTTTTTTGGGGGGTACCGGGGATCGAGCTCGGGCCCTTGTGCTTGCAAGGCAGGTGGTGAAACCACTGAGCCAAACCCACTGCCCAGAAATAATTCATCTTTAATGTTGAAATTTTCTGTTGCCCAGAAAGAGTTTAATTTTAAATTAGCATATTAGACATCTGTGAACTGCATGATAATTTTATTACCTTGATACTTTTATGAATAGGATATATAGTCTGATTTATTTTAAGTTGTATCTTCTTAGCTTTGAATTTAGGAACTCCAGTGTATGCTACAAGATTATTTTGATAATGCGACAAAAACTTTAGGAGATTTTAGCATTTTGTAAATGGAAGGCAGTTTTATTTTGTTATTGTTTTAGTTTGACTTTGCAGAATGGAGTGAAATTTGCTGACCTGATTATGATTTTCTAAATTTAATGAGTCTAGAAACTATAATAGCAACAACTACTATAATGAAAATAAAATCTCTTCTGATTACAGCCACAAAGGCAAGAGACTGATTAGTTTTGCCTAATTTGTAAAAATGAGTGCTTTCGTGCCCAGAGTGTGATCACTGAAACTGGCGTCTCAGGGCCCCCGATAGAGCTTTGTGTGTATATGCAGGGCTCTGCAGAGAGGTCACACCTGTGAGTTGGGAGCAAAGCTGGCACTGCTTTTCTTTTCTTTTTTCTTTCTTTCTTTTTATGTTTGGTACCAGGGATCGAACTCTGGACCTTGTGCTTGTTAGGCAGGCGCAGAACCACTGAGCTAAATCCCCGGCTGGCACAGCTTTTCAAGAGTAGATTTTTTTTCTTTTCTCTACTTACTTGAATTAAAATATAAAACAAATGTTTAATACTCTACACATGTAAAGTTGGAATTGGCTAAGGCCAGAAGTTTGTAAATAATGTGTCTTTGGATCTGCAAAGTATGTTAACTAGAACAGGGAGATTGTGGAGACTTTCATCACACTCCTCATTTGCGTTTCCATTCTGATTCTTCTGTTTTAAGTTACTGTAAAAAAAAATTACTGTACACAGGTGTAATTCATAGAGGTAGTGTGCAAAAGGGATATGTACACGTCAAGTTACGTTTAATGACGGTTTGTATCCAATCGATGAAAACTATGTTTGAAAATTGAATTAAAAATAAAAACATAGCACATAGCCTAGGATTAAAGTGAAAATTCATCAAAATCTCATTTTTCTAGGATATAAGAATTTTGTCTGTTAAACAGAGATACTGTTTGTTTAAATCATTGATTCTCAACTTGGGAAGGGGCAGTTTTTCCCCCGTAGGGATCCTTTGGAAATGTCTAGAGAGGGCTCTGTTCCGTGGTGGGGCTGAAGGATGACCATTCCATCCCTTCAGTAGGAGGAGGAGTGCTCCTAAGTCCCCTGCGGTGCCCCAGATGGCACTGAGCAAGGACTCACCCGCCTAGAGTGGCAGTAGTGCTGACACTGAGAAAATAGCTAATTTTCCAGATGTGCTTACATTTGTGATTCGCCATTTGATGTCTTATTTATAAAATGATTTTGTTTTTATTAATCTTATTTATTATTGGAGATTTTTAACATTAAAATAGAAAAGAATAGTATAATGAAACTCATGTACCAGTCACTCCATTTCATTTTTTATTCATGAACAGTTTTGTCTTATCTGTATTCTTTATTTGCCTTTTCTTGTACTGCACTATTTTGAAGCACATCTAGATACATTATGTCATCAATAAATATTTTAGTATGTATTTTAGAAGATAAGGGTGTTTAGAAAACTTTACCATATCTTTTATCACCCCTAAAAACAATAATAATTAATATTTGTGTTTGTTTTATTTTTTGAGACTGTCTGGAACTCAACTAGGAAGCTCAGAGTGGCCCCTGAACCACAATCCTCCTGCCTCAGCCCCTAAGTGCTGGGACCACAAGTGTCATTATAACCCGCAAATGTTGATTTTTTTAAAAACCCAATTTACTAAAAATGTTGGGGTTAACTTTAGAATAAAGAGAATACTGTGTTTTGTTCTCTGATTACCTCATTCTATAATCGTGCACTTTTTTCATCTGAATTAGGAAGTGGGCTCAAGATGGTACAGATTAGGGCTTTGCACACTGTCGCTGGCAGGCCCAGCCTTCCGTGTGTGTTGTAGTGTTTACCGGAGAACAGCGTGCCCACTCCCTCACGGATTGTCTGGCTGCTCTTCTGCAGTACAAAACTAAGCAGCTATATAATTTTGCTAAGTGACCACATAGCCTCAAAAATCTACAAATTCTTAACTTTCTGGCTTTTCACATAAAATTTTTGTAGCCCTTTGTGAAACAAATTATTGCAGACTTTTTCAGTTGTTTTAAGTGTTTACCAGCGACATTATGTGGGATGTATAAGGTTACACTTAACTTCTCTCTCTTCCTCAGGGAAAACTCAGATTCATCTGGGGAAGTTGCTTGTCTCCTGGTCTCACCTGCTGAGTGCAGTAGGGTCCTGTTCTGCTTCCTCCTCAGTGTGTAGCAGAAGACATTAAGGGCTGTGAGAGCTTAGGTGTGTTAGTATAGGTGGGGGCTCATTTTGGATCTGCTACCAGAGATTTCATACAGTTTTCCCATTGGTGAAATAAGAATATTAAAGGTGAGGAGGTTTGGGTGGATGACCACTTTAAAAAATGTCTTTTATGATATTTTTCAAATGTGTAAAAGCTATGCTCAGCTGGAAAAATGGGGTGATTTTATCATTTAGGGTTAATGAAAGCTGCTTTGAGGAGGATTAGTAGTAGGGCACAACACTAGACTTTGTGGTATAACCCGGGTTTTAATGGTGTTTTTGCTCCTTAAATAATACTGGGTCAAAAGCTTAATTGGTAAAAGATCCAGTTCCCTCATTTGTGTTAATAATTCAGAAGGTTGGGATGTGGAGTAAGGAAAATAATTTATAGTATGTAACACCTTAGACCTCTGTGTGTGACTGTTCTTATTAATTAAATACTTCTTTCCACCTGGCAGAGGTAGACAGTACCGAGTGTCAAGAAACTTGTTGCTTCTGACTGATCTTATTAGTGAAAAACAAAGTGGCAGAAACACTTTTTCAGACTGTAAAACAGAAGGAAAGGGCAAGTAAGCTTCAAGGTTGGCCAATTTAAAGGAACTCTTTTGTGAAACATAAATCAGGACTCAAAATTATAACCACCAAAAATGGCTTTTAAGTATCCATAATTCCTAGGGATCTGTGTTAAATTAGGTTGCTGTTAGGTGCCTTCCAGCCTCCCCAAAACTCATATTGTCAAAAACATGGAAAGTCAAAAGATAGCTTTTGGGTCAGAGGAGAGAAATGTGTTATGTGGCAGGAGGGAGCGGGAGGGAGAGAGAGAGGGAGGGAGAGATGGAGGGAGGGAGAGAAGGAAAGGGTGGGAGAAGGAGGGGGAGGAGAAGGAGGGGGCGGGAGGAGAAGAGCAAAGAGACCTGGAGGAGTGGACTGCTCTTCTGTCAGAGCTCCATCTCCTGTGGGACCTGCGTTAACCCTTTCTTGAGGGTAGGGCCCCTGAGACCCCATTGTCTTCCCCAGGACCCTCTGGACGGTTTCCGCCTTTCAGGACTGTTGCTGTCACCTTGAGGATCAGGCTTCCAGCACAGGAACCTTTAGGAGACAAACTGTATCCAAGCCTTAGCCTCACACCTTAGGCCTTGGTAGATTTAAGAATGTAAACATCATATAAGAAGTGTCTTCTCCAGTCACTGTGGGTTGAAGTTAGAAATCGGCAGGAGGAAAGCAGAGGATTTTTCTTTCTTTCTTTTTTTTTTTTTTTTAATAGTGGAAAGATATATAATTTGTGCTTTTCAGAGAGAATTCTGTCTAGTGTCAAGGATAGTTTGGGATAAGAATGAGGGTTGAGCTCTGGTAATAATTCAGGTGAGTGTGAATGAAGGCCTGAGTTAGCGGTAGAGATGGAGAACAGCAAATGGATCTGAGCATCATTTGGAGAATAAAAGCTTGAGATTTTGGTGAGTGTGTCTGGAGACTCCGGAGGAAGTGAGTATCATCGAGGGATGTTACGCTTTAGTCGGCCCTGTGGTTTGTGGTTCCATCTGCTCACATGGGGGAGACAGGCAGAAGAGCAGGTTTG